TAAAGGGATTTTTAGATATATATGTAAAAGAGATCAAGTTGATGTAAATTTTCAATGTGTGTTTTAAAGACCTTGTTGCTATGTATGATTTATATACAGCAGCCTTATTTGTTCATTACGTATATATGTTTTATTTCTTACTTTGCATTACTGTACAATGGTTGTACTTTAAGGTTTACATTAACAATGTAAGCGTATGAGTAGGCTGACTCATTGCAAACAATTTACTCCCTGTGTGGCTGATATCGTATCTGAAAAGACATTCAACAGAATTATGACGGGCGTTTAACTGCCCCTAAACTCTGCTGCAGCTAAACTCTGATAAAAGTCTATGTGTGCATGGACACATAGACTTTTATTGAGTGGAGTTCAGGGGCTTTGCCAAAAAACACCAAAAGCTCATGGACTCACGATTAGGAGCAGCAGTGTGCATGAGGCCTTACAACAGCTTATGTACCCTACTTCTAGAGGCTATACTTTACCTATAAACCTAAAGACCAGAGGTGGATAAAATAATGTATAATTAAGATAACCTGTATATAGGTCATATAAAGTTAAGAGACTCTTTCGCTTTGCCCATTTAGTAGAGTATCTTACTAGCCCACCCCAACCAATTTCTTGTTTTGCATTCCCACTGCTCTGTTGTTGAAGAAATCAAACCCTCCGTGGGCACCATATTTGATGGAGAGGCAGCTCACTCAGGGCCGATGACATTGTCATCCTAATCCTCCTCCCAATTGGCTGCTCAGGCCCATGCTTTGCATCCTTGGAGGAAGTCACATGCTTTAGGCATTGATAGTATAGCTGAGATGGAGGGTGGGCAAGTGAGACTCTTTAACAGTCTTTCTGAAAAGGAGCAACAGATATGCTAAAATAATTCCTACAGAAAAGAATTCCTACAGAAAATGCTACTCCTGGTTCCTTTAGTGCTGGTCCAATATCTGAACACCTAGGTACTCATGTCATGAATGTGTAGAGGAAGATCAAAACTTCACAATGTCTGACCTAGCTCTTCAGATTCCAATGAAAAAAAAGGGTATCCAAGAGGCACTGGAACTTTGAAGCAAGTTTAAACTAGGTAGTAAGAGGGCAAAATATATTTGAAGAGCCCACAGACTCAGTTTAAGCTGCTCACAACAGATGAGGCTACCCTTCAGTGGGTACTCCAGCAGGTTATCAGGAAAAAAAAAAAAGACGTGCATACATGGAAGGTGTGCCAGATCAAAAGATAAAGTCCAAATTAATTTATTGATATTGTTCTAAAAGACAGTCAACCCATTTCAGGGGTTAAAGGAACTCCCCCTTCATCAGGGCTACAGTTACAAATAAGAACCTTGAATGGACTCAAAGTAAGGCTTTCTTATTTTGACTGCTCATCCAGATGGACCTGGCCAGGAATTCTTCTAATCCAGGAATCAACTTCCCTGCACGGGTTCAGACACGAAAGCCCTACTTTTTGAGTCCATTCAAGCTTCTCATTTTTAACTGAAGCTCTGATGAAGCAGGAGTTCCTTTGATTCACAAAATTGGTTTTCTTTTAGCACATTTTTAATAAATGAATTTGGACTATCTTTTGGTGTGATGATCCGGCTCTTCAAATGCATTATATGACAAAATGCATCAACCATTGGACATGCAGGACCTCTAGGGAGAAGATCAATTCACCGAGCACGAATATTTGACAACATGTACACTAGTAAAGTGAACTCAATCATGAAATCTCTATCCCCCATAAAGGCAATCAGTCAAGTGCAAGCTTTCCTTTTGGCTAATTCTGTGACAAAAAGTAAAATCAGCTTCACTTCTCAGTAAAGCCTGAAACATTCAAATTCAATTTTATAACGAAGATGGCAGGAAATTCATTCCAGGTCCACTGAACATCCTGGCACTCACCTAAAGTTCATCTGACTGTATCACAGGCTGAAACCGCGCCCAAAGGCAAGGAATTACCAAACAGCTGAATGTTGACTTTACCATCCATCTCACCAGTATCCTGGCATCTTACACTGCCAACGACCTAAATACCAATAGGCTAAGCCTGAGGTGAACACCAATGTAGAAATATGTAAAAAAAAAAAAAACAAAAGTACCTTAAACAAAGAAACACCATAACAGATAAAAAAATAAATAAATGAAAGCCAAAGGCAAGAATTAGGATTCAACAGAAAACAAAGACCAGTAATACCTTCCAGGAATTAGTTTGGACTTGAATGCTTGGCAGGAGATAGAGAGATACATGTAATCAAAACCATTCAGACAATCTAATGTACAAATGTTAATGGAATAAACAGCTTCTTGCGGAATGCACTATGTTATTAGACGAGGTTAAAATATATGCTATTGTATTACAAAGAGTACTGCCACTAAGCTGCAATCAACCCTATAAAGCGAGTTCCTTGCCACTTACACAATGTAGGAGTTTGAACCAGGCAGGTGCTGTCAAGCTTCGGCACTGTCTGGAGGTACAGAAAGTGGTTGTAGAGGCTCAAGGTTTTTTACCCCCCCCCCCCCCAATACTGACCTGAGCCTGCTCTTAATCCAGTGGTGTGCATGAGAGTAGCGGCTCTCCAGGGACTCTTTCTCCTCATTGGCTGAGACAGCAGCAGGAGCCATTGGCTCTTGCTACTGTCAATGACAACCAGTGGGTCAATGAGGAGAGAGTGGGGGCAGGACCTAGCCATGCTAGTGTGTGAATGGACACACACTAGCAGAGGCTTGGGAACTGCAACCAGTTTGCAATAGGAGCACTCGGCAGGAAGGGAGGGGCCAGAAGTGACGGCAGGGGACCAGACAAGAGGAGGATCAGGGCTGCTCTGTGCAAAACCACTGCACAGAGCAGGGAAGTATGACATTTAACAAAAGTATGTTATTTAAAAACCTTCAACCACTTTCCTTTGGCTGTATGCATATATGCAGCCTCTCGATGGGTGGGCCTTAACGCCCAGTGGCCGCATATATGCAGCCCTGTGTAAACAACTTATCGTGCGGACAGCGTGCTCCCTGTATGGTAATTGGCAGGGATCGGTAAGCTCCCGATGCATGCTCTCAACCAGGAGCTTTTCAATCATGTGACTGCTGTTACAGCCAATCACAGCGGTCGCATGATCCGAATGCCCACCTCTGCTTTCCAGCTTTTGAACTCTTAGCGCAGTGGTTCTCAACCTGTGGGTCGTGACCCCTTTGAGGGTCGAACGACCCTTTCACAGGGGTCGCCTAAGACCATCGGAAAACACATATTTCCGATGTGTAAAGAGCAGCTACTGTGTAGAAAGCAGCTGCTGTGTTGAAAGCAGCTACTCTCTTTAAAGCAGCTACCGTGTTGAAAGCAGCAGTATTGGAGGTAAAACGACACTTCATGAATTATAATTACTTGGTAAATAATTTTATGGTTGGGGGTCACCACAACATGAGGAACTGTATTAAAGGGTCGCGGCATTAGGAAGGTTGAGAACCACTGTCTTAGCGGGTCAGGAGGCAGTTGGCAGGAAGGGGCTAATATCATTTGAAGCTTTGCAGAATGGTCTGAGATTCAGCGATAAGGATAGAATTTTGAAGGCATCTGAAGCTGACCATACATTGCTTCAATGATGATCCTGTTGGCAACAATCAACTTTTTTCGTAGGAACTAGATGGAAAATTGTTAGCTGAACAGCAACTGCATTCAATCTGATGCAGTCACTGTTTGAGGTATTCAACAGCTGTGGGTCCCGCTGGCTGCTAAATACAATTTGCCTACATTCACATTGCAAAAACGCAGTAAAAAAAATATGCATTTTTGCCACATTTCCGGTGCGTTTTTCATTTGACACGTGAATCAAAAAAATGCACCAAAAACAGAAGCACGGGAGTGTTTTTTGCCCTGTTTTTGAAGTGCTTTCCATTCATTTCAATGGGAAGGTGGTGTATTTACTGCACAAAAAAAGCAGCAAGCGGGACTTTGCAAAATGCAATGGACCCACAACTGACCAATGTGAAGAATTCCATAGGATTTAATGGTCATGCGTTTTTCATCCACTTTTTTTTGTTTAGCACAAAAACAGAAGAAAAAAAAGGATCAGTGTGTGAAAGCAGACTTACCAGCAAGGAAGTTACCTTCATCCAAGCGGTTTGGAGTGGATGGGGGAAACAACTGATTTCTCTGTCCAGCTTTCAGATATGTAAATACACCTTCAGATATACCAGCAGAATGTTTTTTCTTTTTGCTGACAGTGTCTCTTTATTGCTGAATTCCTCAGACCTTACAAAAGACATGGAGCATTCAAATCAGCCTCTGTCCCAACCTAATACCCTTCCTTAGGTATAAGTAAAGTAGTTAGAATCACGCACACCATTTATAGAAATAAAAGGAAGATAGTGAAGAGGCCACAGGGGTGCTGGCAGCATATTCTATATAACCTATCCTATATATATATATATATATATATATATATCTCCATCCATATCCTACATAGAATGTATATAAACACTCATGAATATACAACACAGTACAAAAAATATAAGCATACAGACATTCATACAATGGGCAGAAAAGAAACCAACCGACCACACTTCACCGGTAAAAGCCTTGTTGAATCTTAAGCCCTACAAGCTAAGAGTCCATCAAATCAGGTGAGTGTGAATTATACTGGAAGGTGATCACGGAGCATGGTGTGGGGATATCATTTAACTACTTGCCTACATGGCACTTATACCCCCTTCCTGCCCAGGCCAGTTTTCAGCGCTGTCGCACTTTGAATGACAATTGCGCAGTCATGCAACACTGTACCCATATGACATTTTTATCATTTTTTTGAGACAGAGCTTTCTTTTTGTGGTATTTAATCACCTCTGGGTTTTTTATTTTTTGCTAAACAAACTAAAAACACCTGAAAATTTTGAAAAAAAAAATGTATTTTCTTAGTTTTTGTTATAAAATTTTGTAAATAAGTGATTTTTTTTCTTCACTGATGTGCGCTAATGAGGCTGCAGTGATGGGCTCTGATAAGCTGCACTGATAGGTGGCACTAATGGGCACTGATGAGGAGGTATTAGTAGGTGGCACTGATGGGCATTGACAGGCATCACTGATGGGCACTGAAAAACAGCACTCATATATGGCACTGATAGGCGGCACTGACTGGCACTGTTAGGTGGCACTGATGCGCACTGATAGGCGGCACTGACGGACACTGATAGGTGGCACGGATAGGTGACACTAAAAGGCAGCTCAGATGGGCCCTGATATGTGGCATTGATCTGCACTGGTAGGCACTGATATGTGGCATTGATGAGGCACTGATGGGCACTAGATGGTGGAATTGATGAGCATTGGCAGGTGGCATTAATGAGCACTGACAGGTGGCACTGCTGGGGCTACACTGATCATCAGGGCACACTGATCATCAGTGCCCTGATGATCAGTGTACATGTCCCCTCCGAGGAATGCCGATTCTCCTCTCCTCTCGAGCTGTCAGCGTGACAGCTCGTGAGGAAAGAAATGCTGAAAACTGGCATTTCCCTATTTACATGCGATCAGCTGTGATTGGACACAGCTGATCACATGACCAAGCCGACATCTTCGGCTCTTTCCGTTGATCAGGGTGAATCGTTCTTCTGCACCGCTACTGTGGGCGTGTCTTCATCCTTCGTCTATTCGTCCTGTTTCATGTTTTTTCTTCAATTTCCTTACAAAAAAGCTTTCAGCTTCCCAATACTTTTGTTACTAAACAACATAAAGTAATAAGAGCATCCTTGCCTAAAATGTAAAGCTTTTATTGGAATTTATGAGTTGGGCCCCAATATGGAAACTACAGGAAATACATTACAATGCTTCCTTTAAATCCATACTTTGATCACTGGTGTAAAATCCCAAGTATTAGAAGAGTCTTGCCAAACTAGATTGGACTATACATTTTTGCAGACTTGCAGTCTGGAAAAATAGGGCTGAATATAGATTAACTCTTGTGTTCCCATTTTCACAGTCTGAGGGATTTTTTTCTTGTAATTTTACCATTTCTGATAAAAACTAACGCTTACTACGTATTACAAAAGGACACTTGTACCTGATACCGGAACAGACCAGACTGTGTTTCTGTGAAATCTAAGGTGGGGGGGGGGGGAAAGTTTTAATTATCTTTCTATCTGGGGGGACTTAGCTGAAATGAGACACTTCTGCCCCTGTTCCAGTGATCTGAATTGGAAATTTTCTCTCCCTCTATAGCTTGCCAGTTTCAGCTCCCAGAGTGATACAGCAGATGTCATCTAGTACAATAAATTCCTTTATTGGCCATAAATTTGAGACGGCTTCTGGGATTTGAAGAGTTTGGTTTCATGCTGAAAAAATGTAATGGTATCTACAGATTGTCAACGTGCAACAAAAACAGAGAAACCGGGCAGCTTTGATCGAGGCTTGGAAAAAAACAAAAGGCCCACGTTATCTGCTAGACATGGTATTTTACAAGAAGGCCACGGAATCCCAGTCTAAAACGTAAGCATGCATTTCTTCCTGTCCCACTTCATCACATACAAGAGATCTCAGAAAGATACATAAGGTACCATCAGAAGCAAAAACACCACACAATGCATCATACTTCTAAAAAAAAAACTGTAAAAGTGAAGTCAAATATTTATTATTCATGTATTTGCACTGTAGCCTTGCAAAGTTAATGCTGCAGCTTCAGTACCATCATGTCATAGTTACATAGTTAGGATGGCTGAAAAAAGACAAAAGTCCATCCAATTCAACCACAAAAAAAAAAAAATTATTATCCTACACCCACAGTTGATCCAGAGGAAAACCCAGCAAAGCATGCTCCAATTTGCTCCGGCATGGGGAAAAAATTCCTTCCTGATCCCTTCTACATAAGGACCTTCTAGGTCCTTTTACATAAGAATTCAAAGCGATTTTCCACTTTTGGGGCAAAAAAAAGAAGTCTTGGAATTGGGATATAAATAAATATTTTTTTTATTTATTTTTGCAGTGGTTCTGTGATGCTCTGCATTACAATTCCTGTTTCCTCTTGCACCAAATTGTATTGTAACTGTAATGTCTACCTTCATTTTGTAAAGCGCTGCGCAAACTGTTTGCGCTATATAAATCCTGTATAATAATAATAATCAGCTATGAAATGCTTGTAGTCTAGTTCTGTTATTCTGTATATAAACCTACAGAACAGCCCATATCTGCAAACAAGAAATGGGAACTTTATTTTAGAGAAAGACAGAGTTTACCCATAGATGCAGCTACAATTTAGAATCACTGCCATCTACTGGTTGAAGAATATACTGTATACTGAAGTAGTTGTCGCAAAATACATGAAACACTGTATTCCAACAAGTTCAGGCTTTCTCAGCATCTAACTCTCAGAAGATGTCTGTTCCTTTGTCTGTGCTAGACTTCAGTAAGGGAAACTAACATGTGGTTCACGAAATATGACATAGTGGGGAAATTTACTAAACTTGGTGCACACAGAATATCTGGTGCAGCTGTGCACAGTAACCAATCAGCTTCTCGCTTCAGCTTGTTCAATTAAGCTTTGACAATAAAACCTGGAAGCCGATTGGTTACTATGCACAGCTGCACCAGATTCTGTGTGCACCAGTTTTTGTAAATCTCCACCAGTGTGACCTGATCCAGCCTCAGAAGACCTAAATGACTCAATCCTTTTCAAGTGTCATAGCAGGGCTCCTAAGCTGGGACAGGATCATGCTAAGATTTGGGCTGCTCAATATCCTATCACCTTCAGTACCTCATTTCTATGGTGCTGCATCCTCCTTCACTGAGCTACTGTGCAATCATGCTCACAGCTCAGAACCAATAACATAGCATAATCCTACTAGTTCAGCCTATGATGAAGCAACACTGTAGGAGCAGATGTGTGCTCTCTGAGCAATACATTCCAGGGATGCGCAATTTGTATCGCCAAACGCCCAGGACATGTAGTTTTTCTTTAAAATACATTCTTCAGATTTGTTTTAACATATAAAAAAAAAGTAATTTTAACATATATTTTTACATAGATTTGTAAATACATTCCAAAAATTTAATTTATATTTTTAAAGACATACAGTATATTTGAAATGTATTTTTAAAAATATTTTTCATATATTTTTTAATAAAAATGCACTTCAACATACAAATATATATATATATATATATATATATATATATATATATATATACACACACACATATATACATATATATATACACACACACACACACACACACACACACACACACACACACACACACACACACACAGTCAGGTCCATAAATATTGGGACATCGACACAATTCTAACATTTTTGGCTCTATACACCACCACAATGGATTTGAAATGAAACGAACAAGATGTGCTTTAACTGCAGACTGTCAGCTTTAATTTGAGGGTATTTACATCCAATTCAGGTGAACGGTGTAGGAATTACAACAGTTTGCATATGTGCCTCCCACTTGTTAAGGGACCAAAAGTAATGGGACAATTGGCTTCTCAGCTGTTCCATGGCCAGGTGTGTGTTATTCCCTCATTATCCCAATTACAATGAGCAGATAAAAGGTCCACAGTTTATTTCAAGTGTGCTATTTGCATTTGGAATCTGTTGCTGTCAACTCTCAAGATGAGATCCAAAGAGTTGTCAGAGAAAGCAAAAACATTAGGCGTGGCCAAAACAACTGTTTGGAACATTCTTAAAAAAAAAGACTGTTGAGCTCAGCAACACCAAAAGACCCGGAAGACCACGGAAAACAACTGTGGTGGATGACCGAAGAATTCTTTCCCTGGTGAAGAAAACACCCTTCACAACAGTTGGCCTGATCAAGAACACTCTCCAGGAGGTAGGTGTATGTGTGTCAAAGTCAACAATCAAGAGAAGACTTCACCAAAGTGAATACAGAGGGTTCACCACAAGATGTAAACCATTGGTGAGCCTCAAAAACAGGCACTGCTCGAGGAGGAGGAGGAGCCAGGAGCGCCGGAGGGGACCTGAAAAGAAGACGATCGGGGCTGTTCTGTGCAAAATCACTGCTCAGAGCAGATAAGTAGTATAGATATGTTTGTTATTTTTGAAAAAAAAAAAAAAGTTTTAGTGTCACTTTAAATAGATGCAGTCTGTAATTTTTTGGAGGTGTGTAAATAGGAAGCCTCCATGACCCAATCACCTATACATAAACACATACAAACTACTCAGATCAACCTATACCTGGAATACGGTGACAGAGTTCCAAAAGCATTCTAAGAATTCCCTATCGTGTAGCCTTTCGGAAGAACTTATTATACAGTATAGAATAACAGTACATTCTATCACAATGATTCATCCAGCTTGCATAATGCTTTATTATGTGTTTTACAATAGAAGAGAATTTCATGATAAGAGTCTTAGGGAAGAGGATGTACACGGTGAGATTAAGAAAAACCTCAATGAACGATGTGCAGACATGATTTTGGAAACCAGAGGAGCCCTGTGCCCATGAGATCTGGTGGGGTTCAGAATTTCTCCGCTTGGCTGAACGCAACAGCAACTCGGCATGACACTTCACGCTTTAGAGTTTTAACTTAAAAGAAACCAAAGGGGGGATGAAGTGAATACAGTGATTACGGTATTACCCTCCCCAAATGAGGCTATTTTCTGAAATTTAAGCTCCGACGATTTCCTATTGTTCCTAGCTGATGAATAAAAGATGGGTCCTTTGTGAGAATCTCCATTTTGGTTTGCCAGGGAACAACTTTTCACCTGTTAAGTTGGCTGGTTTGACTTGATGTTTCACGCTGACCTTTTCTTGAGATCAAAATGAGGATGGGTGGGGGGCATTAAAATGAGTGGGAACAAGGTACCCATTTACTAATGAATAGAAACTGTTGCTTTTCTGAACCAGAAATATTGTTTCCCTAGATTCCAAAGCAACTGGCTAACTGGGCCAATTTATTAGAAAAGTACAAGAAATACAGGCAGTCTAAATAAAACTACAGTGAGGAACAGAAGTATTTGAACACCCTGCGATTTTGCAAGTTCTCCCACTTAGAAATCATGGAGGGGTCTGAAATTCACATTGTAGGTGCATTCCCACTCAGAGACAGAATTTAAAAAATTCAGGAAATCACATTGTATAATTTTTAAAGAATTTATTTGTCTTGCACTGCTGAACATAAGCATTTGAACACCTAAGAAACAGCAAGAATTCTGGCTCTCAAAGACCTGTTACTGTGCTTTAAAAAGTCCACCTCTACTCCACTCAATCTTAGTAGCACCAGTCTGAGCTCTTTAAAGACACCTGTCCACCCCACAGTCAGTCAGACGCCAACTACTACCATGGGCAAGACCAAAGAGCTGTCAAAAGACACCAGAGACAAAATTGTGGACCTCCATAAGGCTGGAAAGGGCT